ATCACACTGTACAAAGTAGAATAATTAACCCAACCAATACCAATTTGTACTTCACTACAGTTTCAATGTGTAAATCTGTAGAATATGTCACAGACATGGATATATGATAGAACTCAACAGCTCCTGTATCTGTTTCGGATTAAAAGCTCTGTTGCATTTTTGTAGATGGAATCAATTCATATGTTAAATGGTAAATGGACCTGTACCTTTCTAGTCTTCCGACCACTCAAAGCACTTTTACACTACATGCCACATTCACCCTTTCACACACATTCACTCAGTGATGGCAAAGCCCATCAAACAACTAAACTAACGCATTCATACACATTCACACACTGATGCGCAGCATCAGGAGTAATTTGGGCGTCCATATCTTGCTCAAGGACACGAAGAGATCGAACCAACAACCTTCCGATTAGTGGACGACCCACTCGTCCTTTGAGCCACTGCTGTCCCGTATAATAATAATAATAATATAATAAGTACTGTGGAAATGTACATTATGCTAATTTTATCAAGACAACGTGTAAATGGAGCAGGAGCTGAGTTTTTTATTAACTGTGGAACAGTGGAAATTAGAAATAAAGGGCTCCAGATCTTTGATAAGTCTGTTTTAAAAGGCCAGTTTTCTCTGCAGTTGAGGTAAATACATTTACAGAATTGTAGGATGTGTTTTATTGATGTATCTTTTTTTAAAACTTGTGTAGCACTGTGTTTTTAAAAGCACTGTAAAGATTAAATCGATGTTTAGAGTTTGCTTATGCTGTTGTGCTGACATTTATATCACTCATTAGTTGGTTTCCCCCATCGTTGTTGATGATTGGTTCATACTGTGGGGTGTTGGGCCTGCATTTTAGAACCACTGTATTAATTTAGCATGTCTGTTATTTGAATTTCCCAGTACCTGAAGAAGCTGCACACCCAGGAGCGGGCAGTGGAGGAGGTGAAGCTTGCCATCAAACCATACTATCAGCGCAAAGACATCAACAAGGACGAATACAAAGACATCCTCAGGAAAGCTGTGCACAAGGTCAGCCTCAGCACACGCATAGTATAGAAAAACACTAGTAGTTCACAGTAGTTAAATGTTAGTATATAGAGTTTGCTTAAAGGCACACTATGTAGAATTTTTAGTGCTGTCAAACGATTAAAATATTTTACATTTACATTAATGTCAAAGTTAACTCGCAATTAATCGCACATTTTTATCTATTCTAAATGTCCCTTGATTTCTTTTTGTCCCATTATTTTTTCTCATTTTAATGCTCTTATCAACATGGACAAGTGGATCGGCTTGCTTTGTTCAAATGTTGTTTTTATTGAAAACAACATTGGCATATACTGTAGTGTTCAGTTTCACACTAACATTATCACTTGGAGCAAATAATCTCTCACACAATGTAACATTGTCCATCAATAAAAGGGTGAAAAAAATACTTTGTCACACAAACAGCCCCTTCAACAGCCCTTTCTAAGGGATCAAAACAGGGCGATACAAAATAAAATTACAAAGTGCACATGTAAGGTAAACTAGGACTCAGCCTATAGTGCAGTTAAACCATGGCTTAATACTTTTCTCAAGTTTGCTTTGAACATAGCAGTCAGGCTACTGCTCTTTATTCACCAGAGGCTCAACCCAGCCTCTTATTTCAGAAAGAATGAACAGTAACGGTTACCAATAAAAGGTAAACCTACTACTTCTTTGCTTTGAGCCAGTTACTCAAACAGACAAGCCTGTTGACATTTTCAGACAACAAGGAATCTATCCATTTCGGCATCTCGCGCTCGCCATCCACTCAAAACGTAACCTCTACTACTCTTAAAGAACTGTTGTTCTGTTTCCGGTCTAGCTAGATCCGGTGTGGTGTTGTAGTTTTTCTAACGTTACTAGTTGTTGCAACAGCATGTGAAAAAACTACAAAGTGTGCTAGGCGTTAATCTCACGATACAAAAATTGACGCTGTTAAAATGGGTTTGCATTAACGCCGTTAATAACGCGTTAAACTGACAGAACTAAGAATTTTCCTAAAAAACAATGTATATTCATATGAATCATCACTTATGACCCACTGGCAGTGTGTGGCAGTGTTTGTCTGCAGACACCTTGCATCCTCTGTCTGTATTTTCTTATGTTGCTGTGTTCTGGATGTTTCTGGGCATTGGTGTGTAGCCCCCAGCCAATAACACGGATACACAATCATTTTTGGGACAAATAAATTATTGGCCAATAATGGGAAATGTATATAATTATGAAATATTGGGATAGCATTTGTAGAGTCAGAACTGTTGTTGTTGTTGTTGTTGTTGTTAGCAATAGTTATGTTAGTTAGTTTTGGTTAGGCCAGAGCTATGGAATATTAAATCATCCATTTTGCTCACAACACCTTTGCCTTTCATACCCTGTGTCAAAAAACTACAGGTTATGAACTACAAATTGTGTGGAGGTGTGGCCATGAAATCACCAGAAAATAACGTTTTATTGATCTGATTCACTGCTTTGTTTTCACCAACGCTATTGCCCCTCCTCATTCACTTTATAGTTTGCTCAACCACCGCTGCTGTCTCACTCGTTCTCTGTCATTGAGACGGCCAACTTTGAATGGTTACGAAGAATAACTGACAAATCCTGCATAAAGTGCCTTTAAAAACAAGTCAATCTGGCTGATAAAGCAGCACTAGTGTCTATTCCTACTACACTCCTAACCCCATGAACCAAATGTAAACTAATATCCTTGTTCTGAAAGAGGCTGTTTAATCACACTGTCTTTCTCTCAGATCTGCCACAGCCGCACTGGGGAAATCAACCCTGTCAAGGTCAGCAACCTTGTAAAGTTGTACGTCCAACGCTACAAGTACTTCCGGAAACACGGACGCAAAATGGATGAGGAAGAAAGGGATGACCGGGAGCCAGGAGCACTGCATTCCTCTGCTTAATAGGAGACATTTTAAATTCGTCCCCCCACAACGCATTCTGCTCAAGATCTGGGCCATCCACTGTTTTTGTCTAATATTTTTTTGTTTTCACAGCCCACCTTGTCTACGCTTTTATGTGATCTTATGGAAGTCTATCATTATCTCTGTGATCTCACTGTAAATATGTCTCACATAGAAAATGTATCATGTATACAATGTTCAGGAAGTGGATGCTATCATGCACAGCTGTGTGATCTAATACAGTCCAGTACACCAGCCCTGCCATAAATACTACCTTGGTGGAGCTTCTAGGTTTTTGTTGATCCTGTTCATTAGAAGCTTCACAATAGTGGTACCAACTGCAGGGCTATTTTTTCAATAGCATTGGATTATGTGTTTGTCTACCCCATCCCCATGTATGTCATAATCCAGGCTAAGGGGAGATGTAATATCCAGTTGCATACACCAAAATATGTTGTACAATACTGTAAGGACACTATACCACTCCCCCCCTGCCTCTCTGTGTCTTTACAGACTGTATGTAAGCTGGAGCTGTCAGTTAGTTGGACAGCTGAATGATTCAGTGATGGTTCAAATACAGACACTTGACCTCTCAGTTCTTTGATTCGGCTGTCTGTGTTTTGTGTGCATGTGTTACTGCGGTTGAGGAAGTTGCTAAATATCTTTATAAAATGACTAGACCAACGAAATATAAATGTTGCTTGAAAACAGGTACACAAATGAATGGTTCTGTCTGTTTTCTGTATTTGCATTACATGTCCTCAAGTGCTAATGGGATAAATCTCAATAATCATTGCTGGTGTAAAAAGCGTTGGCTTGAGAGCATAAAGCAGTGCAATTATAGGTAGACTAACTGTCTGTAGTAATCCAAAAAGATCAACAAAGGCTGAGTTCCCTCGGCTATTTCAACAGAATTTATTGCACATTAAAAAAAGTTAATAAAATAATTTTTCGGTATGCTTGTAGCCTTTATAGTATAATTTCACCATTTACCAAAATGTAATAGTATTTAAAGGCATGAAAGTGAAAAATATCTTAGGTGCAGGTTTCTGAGGGATATTTAAACGGTAATCCCACCATAAGAATGGATTAGTGGTTGTATAGACATTTCTTCTTAATTTAAAAACAATCCTATTACCCAAACCAGTGGTTCTCACCCTTTTTGGTGTCAAGGACCCCCAAATTGATACACATTAGACAATGGACCTGTATTTGTTAAGATGTAGTTTTAGGGATCCCCGTCTGATAAGAATTAGGTATTTCATAATTGTCTATACCAGTGGTTCCCAACCTTTTTCCTTAAGGGACCCCTCATTATTTATATATTTTATAGATATTTCATGTTCTATTTAAAATTATACAGTGAACCTAAATAGTATCACACAAGAACTGTTATTTGGATTTCTTGTTTAGGGAACAATTACAATCCTTTGTCTGGATAATGTATTTTTTTTATCATTTTCATCAACATCATGCATACTTACAAGACTTGTTTTTTTTGTTGTTTTTTTGACAAATTCAGTGTTTTGTTTTCCCTGGCATGTGGCCATTGTTCTATTAGACAATTTACATTTACTTTTCTTCACAGAATTGAACCAAATGCTGACATATAGGCCATCTGTGTATATTTTTAAAGTTTTCTTATTAAGCCTTAAAATCAAGAAGGCCTCACAACCTCCCATGAAGCTTTGGTGACCTCTTGTGCATGTCCTGATCCCCATGTCCATATAAAGGGAATGAAAACCTTTTCCTATAGAATTCCTATTGGATTTTTTAAAAGTGATGGGAATCTTAAAGGATTCTTTTTAAAAAGATGAAAATCCTATATATAGGACTTTTTCACTAGGGTTAATGTAAAAATGATTTGGGTTGAATTATTGAGAATTAAGTATTTACATCTTAATCACATATGCTTCAGAAATAAAAATCATATGTTTGACACTGCACTTGAACTTTGGTTAAAATCCGCTCTGATACAGTATCACCAGCTTGGTGGTGCTTTGTGCTGCATTGACTCTGACCCGCTGGTTTTACGTCAGGTGACTGCGATTTACGGCAGCCCGCCATTTTACTTGCGGAGAACAGCAGCAGCAGCTCGCACACATTCAGCTACCTGTCGCCACACGGTCTGGGCGCCCAGCGCGGTCCGCTTTTAAGTTCATTGTTGTACACTTTTGCGTTAGTCATTTTGTCCAGGAGACCGGCATATATCATACCCGCGTTCCTCTGGTCCATTGTCTGACATTTGTCCAGGCACTGGAGGAGAGAAGGTAAGAATCAAACTCGTGGTTCCTTGTTAGCATAGTTAGCTTGATGGCTAATGCAACGCTCTACTGAATTCTCGATACTAGCTAACGTTGCGGTGTTGATAGTTGGTTAAGCTGTTGATGCTAGCCGGAGTGCTAACCATTGTTGTATAGTTTCTATCTTTAATGTATACGCAGTTTGTATGTAAACAATAGCGTGAGGCTAGTACGGTAGTCGTCGATAAAGACAATAATTAGCACATGAAGCTAACCACCGTGAGTGCTTCCGCTGTTGGTGTTGGCCTGCCATCTATTGCTAGAAGCTTGGAACGTGTCCGGTGTGCTATCATGGTTATGGTATTCATTAAGCCTCTACTGGTTGTTTAGGTGAAAGATGACGCAGTTTTTACCCCCAAACCTACTGGCCCTGTTTGCACCGCGGGACCCCATACCTTTCCTGCCCCAGCTAGAGAAGTTGCCCCATGAGAAGCATCACAACCAGCCTTACAGTGGCATCGCACCATTTATCAGGCACTTCGAGGTAAATATTTAACCATGTTTAATGTTCGTGTTCATTGTTTTATGCACATTTTCTTCTTAAGTGCTACATTGAATATGCACTGATATTCCCTTTGTGATCAGGACCCCAGAGATGCCCCTCCACCAACAAGAGCAGAGACCCGGGAGGAGCGGCTGGAGAGAAAGGTAAGTTCCCCAATCATGGCCTGTGAAGATGCTGCTTCTGGCTGCCGATGCTACACATGTGCTATGAGACACTATTGGCTTTCTGTCTATAATCAGAATACAACACTGCAGTGACTTAACAAAGAACAGTTCCCTGGCTGGTGTATGTGGTGATGAAACCTTGACTCCAGTAGCATAGTAAAAGTAATTGCAGTTTCACTGACTTGATCATTGTCAGCAAAAGGCACAGACTTGATGAAGGTTGTGCTTCAGTTCTTACAGCACTGATCTGAAGTTAGTTATGGGCTAAAAAACATAATTCACTTACTACTTTTGACCAACATTGACAAGACAGTTGAAGTCCTGTGTAGCGAGAATAGCTCAACATTTGACACACTGAGCAACAGAGTGCAAGAGATTTAAGGGACGCCATCGCTATGTTAAAGTACTGTAGCAGAACTCAATAGCGTGTAATTGAACAACTGAGATTAGTAAAAATACAAATGCTTACAGGAGAGAGCTGTGAGTGCTGGAGCAGAACAAGTGTAAGTTTAAATGAATTTCGGGTAATTATTTGCTGTAAAGAATAATAGGACAAGTGTAAGTGGTTTGAGCTACAGCAGCAAATCTACGCTGCTGGCAAACAAATGATACGCTGACTGTAGCACATCAGAGAGGGTCACATCTTTTGGTCAGTAGATGGCATAGTTATGTATTGGTTTATGGGCATAATGCACAAGATTACATTTTTGAATAGACTTGTGCAACATAATCCCCTTTGACCAGCTGTAGTGAGGTTTCCTCCCTGTAATGTTGTCTTACCTTTTTTAACATTAGCTGTTGCAGGTTTGTTTGGTCATATACGCTTCTGTCTGTTTTAGTAGTCCTATTATCTCTCATGCTTTAAGGTATTTTGCTCCTTATTTATTCATCCAAGTTGTTGGTATGAATTCACATTTAAAAAAAATATATAGCAGAGATGGGATTTATCCAGATAATTCCAGATTTATGTTGGCGTTTGCAGAGGAATTATGTTCAAATAGTTTTGGTCTATTTTGCTTGCATTGCTTGTACTTCACAGTGAAAACAGCAGTTAGCACAGTTGTGTTGCTAGGGATTCATTTATTTTTACATTCAGTTTGTTTCACTATCTGTGGCAGAAATAAGAGCGAGAGAGACATGTTATCAGCTCACTAGGATTGTGTTCCAGCCTCAATACCTCCTCCTCAAGATCCTCAATACCAGTTACACTGGTTTTGCAGCTGAAGCTATAAGACAGAAGACTGTAGGGATAAGATAAGCAAGGTTTGATTGGTCGGAGCAAATAAACAACTGTCTGATGTAGGGAGAGACTGTTGGTCAGATTGTGTGTGGCTGTGGCTCAGAGGAAGAGCGGGTCGTCCCCTAACCAGAAGGTTGTAGGTTTGATCCCTGGCTCGTGGTGCCACATGTCGAAGTATCCTAGAGCAAGATACTAAACCCCAAATTGCTCCTGATGCCTGCATCTGTGTGTGAATGCGTTAGTTTCTCTTCGATGGGCTTTGCCATCACTGAGTGAATGTGTGTGAAAGAGTGAATGTTGCATGTAGTGTAAAAGAGAGAACTTTGAGTGGTTGGAAGACTAGAAAGGCGCTATACAAGTACAGGTCCATTTACCTTGCTGCAGTTTTCCAGCAGTTAATGGGACTGCTGCACATAGACAGGAGCAGTGATCCCAAGCAAGCACTAGCATCTTCATGATACATTTCCAGATATCTCTCCCCAGTGATTGACCATTTCCTGCAAATCTTTTGCTCATACAGAGGCGAGAGAAGATTGAGAGGAGGCAAGCAGTGGTGGAGACAGAACTCAAGCTTTGTAAGTTTTCACTAAGGCATACACTACAAACTCTTTTCACTGTATGTGGTTTCTTGGCTTCAACTAATTATGCTTTCCTTACTGCATTTTGTCAGGGGATCCCCATAATGACCCCAATGCTCAAGGAGATGCCTTCAAGACATTGTTTGTTGCGCGGGTGGTAAGTATGTTAAAATCACACATACTTTTCCTCCCCAAGTTTCCTTACACAAGCTCTGTGGATTAAGCAAATATGATTTAATAAGTGATTATGTCCACTTGTATTTTGTCTTTGTTCTAGAACTACGATACTACAGAGTCCAAGCTTCGTCGTGAGTTTGAGGTCTATGGCCCCATCAAACGGGTACGTTTCACTGATGTTTCTCTCTTGTCTAGACCTATTAACTTATTTAGTTACTGTACAAACTACACTTTAATTACACCCACTCATTCTATATTGTAGAAAACAGCCCTTGATTCACATTCCCATCTAGAACTCTTACAGATAGACTGTTCAAAACTTAACCTGAAACCTCAGGGACCCATGACCAGCAAGGACAAAATATCTGTTTACACCTGGTATTAAAATGCCATCTGTATCCAGACACATTATCCATTCAAAAAAGCGGATACGGCAGAAATCTTACATTACAGAGCGTCAGTGAACGCACCACTGCAGATGTCACTAACGTTATTTTCGGTTTGGACACACATGCGGCGCACTTGAAAACTGAATCACGGGTGAGTTTATGAAACGTACTGCTGATGGCCACCGCAGCAGTTACACTGTCTTAACGAGAGCAGTCAAGGGGGCGAGCGTGTCGCGGTTCTGTCTCTCTGATCTGCGACAGGAGACCGTGGACTTTTGTGTTGCGATTTCGGTCTCAGTTTCAGAACCGTTACAGCCCTAATAAAGATTATATGCATTAACAGCAGCTCAACTGCGCAGAGGACATTCTCAGTAGTTGTAATTGAAATTGGATATGAGCATATGTCATACACAGAACTCAAACATCTAAATGCACAGGAAAGGCTGGTGAAAGCCGGTGTAACACAACTCGCATTTATTTTTATATTTAAAAAAAAAAAAAAATAAAATTGGTGTTTGATTAAACTGTCGTTGTTTTTGTTAGAAGGTTGTGGTTTTAGATTGCATGACACTGACATTTGTGCTGGATGGTATGAAGATGATGGTAGTTTCACTGTATATCAATGTATATTTTATTTTTTTTGCAGGACTCTACCTTTTTTAATATATAGGTTTTTAAATGGTTTATTTATGGTCTGGAGTACATAGCATATAAACGCATTGTGTATACTGAATGATTCATTTACTAGAGGGTTTTCTTGGCCCCATAAAATGTATATGAAGAAATCAGACTGTATTGCAGATTAGTATTAGTAAGGGGGGGTATGCAGTTAGGGCTCCCCTGTCAATACACGCTGCACAGCTTGCCCTGACTGGGGCACTCCTTAAGGCAAAATCACTGCTGCTTATTGAAGAGTTACAGCAGGTGTTTCAGCTATGCTCGGCTTCTGTGCTGAAAACACCGGTATGGCAGCATTAGTTGGCATGCACATGATGTGATGTGTAAATGTACAGGGGGTGTTACACGTGTGTGTGTGTGTGTGTGTGTGTGTGTGTGTGTGTAATGATGAATCACACAGCTAACCAATGTGCCCATGCCTGTTTGTTCCAGATTTACATAGTCTACAACAAGAGGACGGGGAAGCCTCGGGGCTATGCATTCATCGAATACGAGCACGAGCGAGACATGCACTGTGAGTACCACTGTACAGCGTTGAGCCAAAACCTTTATTTATGATCACATGTCCACAAAGACTGACCTCTGTGACATGCAAGGTGGCTCTTCAGTTGAACCCTCTTTCCTTTACTCTATGTAGATATTTATATAATGATACTGGGGTGGTAGCTTTCTTTAACACCCCACTGCCTAATGAGCAAATTAATGCTTATGGCATCAAAGGAATCAGAGTACATCTTAAAGACGTATGTTGCATGTTGAAATCCGAGTCTGGTGGTTGTGTGATGTGTGTCTGTGTTTGATGCGTGTCATCAGTTGACCGATAGTCATGAAGGGGAACTGCTTCATTCAGTGGGGCATCATGGGAAAAGTAGGAGGACTGTCTTTCATCTGTGAAGTTGAACATCTTTGCCTGTCAAAGGGCACATTGTCTTTTAACTGTTAGGCGTTGTAGCTCTGTGGAAGAGCAGCTCTCCTGGTTGGACTCTTAATGGTAAGCACAAGGTCAGGCTGGTCACCAAGCAGTGAATGGGTTTTATTTTATTTTTTTCGACTAGAAATGTGTCATGGGCTGTATGGAAACCCATCTTTTGTGTATGATTAGGTATTGAGCTTGTTTGTCTAGTTTTTATTGGTGGTCTTCAACCCTGGTCATGGTGAGATTAGTTCAACGTCACCACACTAGTGAGATATTTTAAGCTGCTGGTGATGCTACAGTGAATAACAGAGTACTGTCTTATTAGACAAGTGAATGGTGCCATCTAACACAATGACACCATTCTGGGATATTTGTGCCATCAGCTCTTCAAGACCAGAGTTGCTAAATCACAGCAAGCATGTAGTCATAGCAGGGGGTGAACTGAGGGGGGATGTGGGGCTAAACAGTATATTAACTGTGTGTTGTTCTCATTGCCACTGCAGCCGCCAATCTGTGATGGCTATTGGCCAGAGCTGGCTGGCAGATGATGATGGTTATGATACATCTACACCCTACTACCACAGCTCAGTATATGGTTGGTATAATGGGTTTGTATGATGGGTAAGATTTCTTTCCACCCTCCATCTCCTACATAGGGAAGAGGAGCTACGTTCAATGGGTAAAGCGTATTTCTATGCAAGCCCTAAAGAGCTTTCAGTGCAATTACTACTACTTGGATCTTAGGCTTTGACCATTGAACGCACCCCTGACTACTAGAGTATTAATGTTGCCCAATGATTCTGCCCTTTATGTGAAAGCCACCTCAGGTCACTGAGGGATCACACTTTGCAGTAGCAACTTAGCTGTATAGAGGGCCACAAGGTCAGTGAACAGGAAAGACAATCCCACCGGCTTCTGGTGGAGTTTGTTGTGATTAATGCTGTGCAGGTTGACAGAACTTGTTGCAGCTCTTCAGAAAAATAGTCCTATTGCTTAGTACTACATTGCAGTAATGTGTAAATATATCTTGGCAGAGAAGCCACCTATCTAAACACTTCACTCCTATCATAATAGAGCTTGGAAATTATTTATTTTCCTTCAAATGTTGTGATAATGTTTTAAACCAGTGCAAAAAACGCCTGAATGGTCATATCAAGATTTAAACTAATGTAATAATTCGGGGCTATACAGCTGCTTAAACCAAAAACAAGCCCTGAGTCACTTGAGTTAACAGAATGCCTCAGAATCTGTGATGACGTTTCACACAGCAAAACTGTATGGGTCTTTTAGTATTTAAAACACTTAAAATGAATAGAAATCCTAAATCCGTTGAGTGAAAAAACTCTTTGGTGTGTTCATTAGTATTGTGTAACTGTTGGTAGCTTCTTGTCTGCAGGTGAGTAACTGGTAAAGTTTTAAAATTATAACACCTCATCATGTCTGTTAGGCTCCAATATTCTGCGATATATATGTGCTAATTAAAAAGCCATTGCAAGATGTAAATAATCAAAGCTAGGTATTAACTCAACTGTAAACAGCTGCCTGTGCATGTCAATCCATACTGTTGATACGATTAATACACATTTCTTTGCCAGTGCATTCCCCAAACTGCAGTAAGTAGTAGTAAAACCTTAGGAGGCTGGGCGGTTGTATTACTGTAATACAGTTCACACACCCATTTTAACCTAGAAAAAGTTCAAATCTCACCTACGGTTGGTGCATAATACTAAAACTAATCCATCTGAGCTGGCTTTAACAGAAAAGGCAGATGAGGGGAATTTTCTTGGTAATTCTGCTAAATGGGCTATTCATACATTATTTATTCACTACATAACTTAAGTTAGATACTAGTTACTGTAGCCTTACAGATGAATTCATAACAATAGTATGGTCAAAGAAATAGTTCCTACACTTTCAGTTTATGACATGTTAGTGAAGTTTAGACACTGTACGCCCTCAGTTTAATATTTCAGGCCACTTTAGATCTCAGACATAACAGCGTTAGGAACATGACTTCATTGAATTCTTGGTACAAAAGTTCTTTCTCATTAGTTGGTTGGGGTTGTGATAACACAACTCCTGAAAGGAAGGTAGCTAGTTCTTTATTTATTTATTTTATTTGTTTTATTTTATTTATTTTTTACTTTTTCCAGTTGGTCAGTTTTGGTAGGACTGGTGGGGGTTTGGTAAGGCCCTATTATTGGATGGGATGTTGTCATCCTTAGTGAACACTGGAAGCGGAGGGGTTCTGGTAAGGCCCCTGATAGAGGTGTTGTGACAGTATGTGCATTCTGGTGCTGAGGGGATTTTGGTAAGGCCCGAAGACTGGGGCAGAGACTTTCATAAGACCTGTAAGTGAGGGATCATGGTAAGACCATCAACTGTGTAGAGTGAGGGAGTTTGGTAAGGCCCTCAGATTGTATATGTGAGGATTTGGTAAGGCCCTCAGACTGTATGCTATAACTGATGGGTTTTGGTAAGGCCCTCCTCTTGGACTTGAAGGTTTTACCCTCAGGGATCATCACCACATCAGACCAGTGTAGCAGCCAGGATGAGCCACCTGGATCTCGCCTTCCATCATACAAGATGGATCTAAAGACTGTTGTGTGGTATAATGGGATGAGGTGTGGGGAGTGTACATGTGGTTGGAAATGCTCATACTCCTGGTTGCTTCCATCATGTTGCTCCGTTATGAAGCTTGTAAAAGGTTTCAGTAGATTAAAGCCACTGCAACAGAACAGCCTACTGTCATAATATTGGACGGAAAGTCCTGTACTGTTACAGTGTTATAGTGCAAGATAAATATAATTTGGCTGACTAGTGATGTGCTGTTCTGTGTGTGCACAATCACTAATGTATTCTTAAGCTTTTGTAAGATATTAAAGGTTAAAGCAAGTGTCAGGACATGGTACAAGCTGTAGATTTTACTTATTCCGAATCCAAACACGAAGCACACTGCTTGCAATCTTGGAATATATATTTGTCACAGCTAGTGAATTCACTGTTACACAATACAATGACGATAACAGCAGTGCTTTATTGTAAATAAAAACCGTGTCAAGTGTTCCAGCAGGTTGGGTTAAGTACAGCAACTGTTTTAAGACTGTCACACTAACTGCAGGTTGAGTGTTTTAGTTTGCCACAGTCAAACCTGTGTGAGAGATCAATATTTATCAAAATGTCTCGTCATTCTGCGTGTTTAGTATTAATATATTAAGAAGCTGCACTCTAAGTAAATTGGAAGTCTAATCCACGCAATTCTGCGATTCCTGCCGTTTTTAACCAGAACGACTTAAAATGGCTGGGTAGGTTAATGGTGCAGCTAAAACGTAACATATCAATCACTCATCGGGTGGAAGGAAGTCTACTCCCATTATCCTTCGGCTTTTACCCAGAGAGCAGCCATCTCGGCCTCGCCTGCTCCTGGTCAGTATAACGATGCACTGTTTGTTTCCTTGGCCACATTGATGTAGTCGTACTACTATCTCACCTCTTGTCTTTCCTTTCCCATTCCTCTTCTCCAGCCGCCTACAAGCATGCGGACGGGAAGAAGATTGATGGCAGAAGGGTGTTGGTGGACGTGGAACGAGGACGCACTGTCAAAGGATGGCATCCTCGCAGGCTAGGTCAGCAGCCTCTTTTGTATTCACATTAAGTTTTTATTTCACTATTGGAGCATCTCTAGTAGCAATGCATCCACACACCAAAGCAGCTTTGTGCTTTTTGATGCAGTGCTGTTGTGTCTGAACACAACCTGACTGTAGCTCAAAGGGGTGTGTGGACTTGACACGTTTAACTTTATTTTCTGGTTTTTCTTGGTTTTTTTGTAACTAGGTGGTGGATTGGGTGGCACTAGAAGAGGTGGAGCTGATGTCAACATTAAGCACTCTGGCAGAGATGATGCATCACGTTACGATGATCGCCCCCTGGGGGGGTGAGTACTTTCATGGAAGACCTGTGGTTTTGTACAAAAGTGTGTTCTGCTGTGTATAACAGTCTTTGGTTTATCCTGCTCATAGTGATCGGGAGCGCGGAGACCGGAGAGAGCGCAGCCGGGAGCGCGACCGGGACAAGGACAGAGAGCGCCGGAGGTCCCGATCCCGCGAACGACGCAGACGTACCCGTTCACGGGAGAGAGAGAGGGAGAGAGAGAGACCGATTGGAGGGGGAGAAGACACTGGAGTTAGTAGCCGGCGTCGAGAGCGAGAGAGGGAGCGTGGGGGGGCAACGGGAGGAGACAGTAGGAGTAGAGAGAGGAGTAGAGAACGGAAGAGAAGGAGCAGGAGCCGAGATCGCAAAAGAGACAGGGAGAGAGGCAAGGGACTGGATGGAGAGGAGGTCAGCCAGGGAGATGGTGCCCCTGAGGGTGGGGAGCGTATGCTGGAGGAACATGAAGGAGAAGTGGGGGAGGGTGTGGAGGAGCGCAGAGACAGGGAAAGAGAAAGGGACAGAGACCGCAGGCGCAGCCACAGGGACAGAGACAGGCGCAGGGGAGACCGTGACAGAGACAGGGAGCACAAGAGGGAGCGCGGGGACAGAGAAAGGGGGGACCGCAGAGAGGAGCGCCACGGCTCCCTACGAGACGACCTTGGGCCCCAGGATGACATTGGCAATGAGGATGAAGGAGGAGCACCGCCCCACATGGAGGAGTACAGTCAAGACGGGATGATGATGGACCAGCAGTCAGTGCCATCGGGTGACGGCTATGGCTCCAGTGAGAATGGCTACAAGATGGAGGCACCAGGAGATGAGTACTGATAAGGTCCCTCTCCCAGCGGGCCCCCACTCATAAATAAGTTGTTTCATACTTAAACATGGCCCATAACTGTTTATCAAGGCACAGGAAGCCTAAATGATGTTGGGGCTTCCTCAGCACCAGACCTCTAGCTAGCTTTCTCCTATCTGTAAAGAACCTGTTGAAATAATTCCAATTGATACTGTTGCACACACAGTTGACACATAACTGATTTTGATCTCACTAAAGTTGCAGTTTTCCTGTTTTGCCCAACTAATCCGTGCCACTAAATGTTTTCAGATTACCTTAGTGATTCAAGATAGGTTTGTATGTTTTTGTTTTTTTCACTTTGCTTGGGATGAACTGTGTAAACCAGAGCTCTATTTGTTTTTAGATGGGTAGATTGTGTTGTCTTTTATTTACAGATTCATAAAGCAGTTAGATTGTATGCTCATTTGGACCCAGTGACCAATTTCTGCTCAATGTATGTGAAATTGAAGGAAATGTAGTATTATGTGACATTTGAGGGCTGTTCTGTTTATTCATTCTGGAATAAAAAAAAAAAGTAAATTATATCCGTTTGTTAGATTTGCATGGTCAACTTGATGTCATGTCTCCACAGCCAGATTTTCATACAGCACAAATGGAAACCAGTGTCTGAGATGTACCGTATCCCAAAAACCATATGTAGTAAGAGGGCCACTGCAGCTAGAATCTGCTAAACAGGACTACAGCAGGTGAACACATTATAAACCAATAATCACCATGAAACGTCCACAGCTGATTTTAAGACAATTCTCTTTTTGTATTCAGGTTTTCTGAAACTATATTAAAATATGCAAATTTGGCAGCCTCTACTTAAAATGTGTTAATTTGCATTTATTTCAAGAATAGAAGTGAGAATTGTTTTCATTTTGTTCACACATTGGAGTCAACATTTTTACAGAGGGAATTTGGATATCTTCATTTAGCAGAAAATTATGGTAAACAGCCATTTAAAAAAATGATGGCCATGTTTTTATTAATAAAATCATCAAGTCATAAAAATGGAGATATGAATGGTGTATGACGATAGCCCTCTGTAAAAACCTTCAGAATAAAGAATAAAACGGGAAGGTGTGAGGTTTAAATATGTTGAAAATGTTTAGTAAAATAAACAAATGCTTTGTATTTCCAAAAGTCTGAAGAAGAAATGTGGAAGAAAAATAGCTCAAAATTGACGTGAGAGGAAAAAAACGGTTTTGTGTGTGTGTGTGTGTGTGTGCGTGCGCGTACGTAGATAGTGATTATATAGTGTTCTTATTATACAGTCAGTACGTAGTGAAGCTGCTGCGTCTGCCTGTGCTGCCTGATCCTCACTGTAGCATCTCGGTCCTCAGTCCATCGTCTCCAGTCTGCTGACCGTATCATCCTAAAAGATGGACCACGCCTCGCTGTAAGCCCCATTTTCTGCTCATCTACGCAATTTAAATAGGGGAGCAGCCTGGACGCGGAGGAGCTCACAATGATGTCCTCTTACTACCATCCTGCCAAGGAAGCCGACATGGCGGCCATGACAGAGCCGCTCTGTCTAGAAAGAGGTAATGCATAGTGAGCCGCACAGCTTCAGCATAATCTCCTGGCTAATATCAATGTATGTGTATTACTTAAACTGTGGCATTGTGTACAGTTACATTACCTAATGACATTGACCACAAAGAACGGTGTTTTGTTCTAACGTTATTATACAAACTACAAATATTTTTAACCTTATGTTTGAGATGGTTCGGCCTATCACGCGACCTATAGAGCGCCCCACGCTCGTTTCTTTCTCATAGTAAACGTCATTAGCTGGAATCCATTCACAGTGAGCCAGCTAGCGTTAATGTTCACATCCTTTATGGGAACATGCTCGGAATGCCCCTGCGCACGGGTTCCTATCGTACGGGCCTTGACAATATATGATTTAACTTGTGTGTGCTGCCGCACTGTGCAACGGTGTGAGTAGAGCCCGTGCCCCGGACGCGTTATAGGTGCGGTCAAGCACGGGCGAAACAGTCCCGTTACACGTTCGTTTAAATGAAGGAGGAGTAAACTGCACTGTCATTGTGATGTCATCTAACTGTTTATATGGCTCGTGATTCTAGGGGTGGAGCCACAGAAATAATCATGGGTTGTACTTTAAATACGGAAGCCCTAAAGGGCCATGTATTCATACATTTTATTTCCTCCGTTTTCCCGTGATAACAGTTAATTATCTCGAGATCTCGAGATAACAAAACTTTGTTTTCCTGAGATAACAATTCAACAATGAAATTCCATATTTGTACCTGCTTACCTGCCTTTGTTTTGGCATTTCTCCACATTGGTGCAGTAGAAATGCTTGATATTAAGTATGTTTTTTATTCATCATGGGCGCATGAAACACTTTAATGTAACATATTTTATTTGAAATGTAGGTTCGAATTATAGCTAACTGTTCTTGATACCTTTATTTTGAAAACCGGAAGTGAATACACTGTAAATTTAAGTGCGGCTGATTTGACCATGGATATCACCGTCGTTATCGTAAGATCTCAAATTAATTATATTGTTATCTCGAGAAAATTAACTCTGTATGAATACATGGCCCTTCCGTATTTAAATGGTAAATGGACTGTACCTATATATCGCCTTTCTAGTCTTCCGACCACTCAAAGTGCTTTTACACTACATGTCACATTCACCTATTCACCCATTCAAACCCAGTTGGCAACAGCAGCCATGCAAGGTGCCAACTACTCATCAGAAACAGAAAATAAGGGCATTCACACACACTCATACACTGATGCACAGCAGGGTTCAGTATCTTGCTCAAGGACAGTTAGACACAAAAATATTTTTTTACAATTTTGTTGGCTTCCTCTACAATTCAGTTACATCCTTGGATTCAATTTGCAACCATGGAAGATGGAAAAGTTTACATTCAGCAACTGGGAATATTCCATTACTTTTGATTTGAACAAAAACACAACGGGATTTTTATTTTAAACTGTGGTGGCCAGCAGCAGCTGCCACCCTTCTAGATCCGCCACTGTGTGTTTTGCCCATTGACAGGAGTTTATTTGAGGTATGGTTGCATTCCACAGTTGTCACCATGCTTTTAGAGGTGTTTCATGATCCCACATAGCAAAATTTGTCTGGCCAAGTCACGGCCCACACAGCCCACTTACACTCGTCCCAGATACAGCAATGAATTACAGTGCACATGTGGGCCAGATCTGGTAGCCAGTAATGGCCTATGATGACTATGGGCCTGACCAATTTAGCAGTTATGGGGTTTTTTTGTGAAGTGGGATGGTGGATTTATGAAAAGCCTGTCCTGCTTTAGTAAAATACACAGTTAAAACAACCAAAGAGCTAATAGAACAAGTAAAAGAAATTTGTCAAAAATAAGACTATAAAGTTAGTATGATTATTAAAAATGTGATCCTTAAAATATCAGGAAAATGAATCACTAATCAGTACTCACAGGACCTAATCTGCTCAAAATTCATTCAAATCTCTCATTTTACACAAATTTCCAACAGTTATTGTGTTTTGGTTAATTGTACAGTTGTTCTGTTATTATTGTGCATTGAATATAATGAAATATCCATAAAATATGTCACTTAGTCAGTTTACTCAAGGCTGAGAACCACTATTCTGTGGGCCCCTCCATGCATCCACGGCTATTTATCTTAGTATCTTTGTTGGCCCTCCTCACACGAGGTCGCTGTATACTCAGTATACTCAGTCACCCGTTTCTCCCAAGTCCTACACTCCTGCGCATTTCTCCCAACCCATTTTACCCAGCCCAAAGATTCTAACCAGTATTCCTGTACTGAATGCGCAAATGTTGCTGCGTCAGATCAGTTTGTGATCATTTTATTTCTTACAAATATGCAAAATATTGGCATAATACTAGATCTTAAATATAGGGCCCCACTACAAGACAGGACTTCATGATTTGGTAGGCGTCACCTTAAAGCTCTTTACGTTGTACTTTTTTATTGTGCTTTTGTTATCATTTGCAATTAATCAAAATACTTAAATGAATGAATTATCATTGCTACTCTGTTTTGTTGCTCACTGTGCAATGACAAAAGGAATAATAATATAATTATAATAATAGTAATTGCAAACCCCTGGGCCTGTGGAGCCCCCTGAGGATCTGGGGCCTTCAGGGACAGTTGCCTGCTTTGCTTTGTTGCTAATCCAGCCTGGTTTGTGGTTTGTGTTTTAGATGTGTGCAGAGTGATTGAGCTGCTGGACCGGCTGCAGCGGAGCGGTGAGCTGCCTCCTCCCAAACTGCAGGCCCTGCAGAGAGTCCTACAGAGCAAATTCTGTGCTGCTATCAGAGAGGTATGCACTTACAGCAGAGTGTGGGGGTATTTCCACATCTTAATATTTCCCTCCTAATGTAGTGAGGGTATGCACATGGTGTCACCATGGTTAGTCCAACACTCAGCATCTGCCTTTTGTGCACGTTAAACAAAAGCCTAGAATCTAAAGCATCCATTGCTTTTTACAGATCTTTTAACTGGGGTTCGCCATGTTGAACCACAATGTTTCTACAGTAGCCAAGAACGGACGAACCACACACTGGATCTAGATAGGGGGTTCGCATTTTTTGCGTGCTTGCAGCCATCATAGTTTCTCCTTCGCACTTGAAAGGGGAGGGTAAAGTGAAGAATTTGCACTCTTTAACTACACTGCTAGATGCCACTAAATTCTACACACTGGACCTTTAATTAGGGACCAAGCCAGCAACCGCTGGAGGTCCCTATTGTTTTTGCTCAATTTCTTCTTCTTACCTATTATTTTTAGCCCCCTTTGACTGCATTTTTGCCCCCTTGAACATATACGAAAACTCAATTTTATTTGGCAAAGTTGTCAGGCCTGGTGAAAATGGGGATATTAGATATGTCGCTTTTGGGTCTGCCACTAGGTGGCGCTACTATTCAGAAAAGTATTTTGACTTTTTTGTTACTTAATAACTCCCACATCATTTGTTGCACATTCAAAAACCTTATATCCACGCATTCGGTGAATGGAGTTGAATCTCCCCATATAGGCCACGCCCACTTCCGCCTATAATTTTTTTTCGTTATAGCACGAAATGTCCTTCAACTACTTTTTTGTGTTCCTCCTACACACTTTGTCCGATTCGCACAAAGTTTTTCATCTAGCACCTGGGGACCGCCCTGGCAAAAAAAGTAATTTGAACATTTTTTAAATTTCAAAAAATAAGGACGCTTTAAAATTAAGACTTCCTGTAGATTTCTCGTCAAAAAAGGAAGTGGACCATTTCTCCACATTGGTATGTCCGATTGATACCAAACCTGGGTCCATAGTTCCTCATGTCGTCCTTAGGCACCGTGCACAATTTCAGGCCATCACCGCTAGGTGGCGCTCTTTAAGATGAAGAAATTTATATCTCTGCAACGGCACGTGTGATTAAAATGAAACTTGGTAGGATGCTTGCCCATGGCTCCCTGAGGCTCACCTAAAAAGGAAAAAAAATCATGCCACTGGGTGGCGCTATGGTGGCAGTGTAAATCACTGTGCGGAGACCGTAATAGTTATGAATATGAAATTCACAGGACACATGTAGACTGGTGCTTGAAGCTCACATACCAAAAATGGTGTTTGTCATGTTTTTAGCGCCCCCTACAGGATTTTAAAAAAGCAGCGCCGGCGCCACATTTCACCGCTATGTACGAAACTTGGTAGGCACGTGTAACATGGCGAGACATACAAAAAAGCCTCTTGGACTCTAGACTATCGGGGGATTTCCCACGGTGCACTGAGCTCCTCTCTTCCTCTCTCTTTCTGCGCTCATTCATGTTCCATTAATGCATGTTACTATCTTCACTTCTTCCCCGGAGTTCTTGTGCTTTCTCGTCTCGCAGGTTCTTATCGATCCTGGTGGAGCCTCCTGCCATGGTCCTGCTAGATTTCCATTGCCAATACTATTGTTGCTGTGCACCTGTCTGTCTGTCTGTCTGTCTGTCTGTCTGTGTCTCTTTCTCTCTCCCTCTCTCTCTCTCTCTCTCTCTCTCTCTCTCTCTCTCTCTCTCTCTCTCTCTCACCCCAACTGGTCGAGGCAGACGACCACCCACCTAGAGTCAAAGGATCTGTCCTAGGTTTCTGCCTTTTAACAGGCAGTTTTTCCTTGCCCTTGTCGCCAAGTGCTTGCTCATGGTGGTACTGTTGGGTCTCTGTAATTAATGTTATAAAGAGTTTGGTCTAGACCTGCTCTATTTGAAAAGTGTCCTGAGATAACTTCTGTTATGAATTCGCGCTATACAAATAAAATTGAATTGAATTGAATTGAATTGGACCCATACCCCAAACCCCACGGGAAGTCGGCCATTTTGATTTTGACTTTCACTTTCGGCGAACTTTTCGCGTTGTATTTGAACGAACTCCTCCTAGGGAATTTATCGGATCTGCTTCATAATTTGTCAGTACAGTCAAATAATGGTGCTTGTTAAAGGTTGTGCTATCTACGACATTCAAATGGCGTGTCCGTCGCGTGGCATCAAAGTCAGCCATTTTGAATTCCGTGCTCGTTTTCTGTGATTTTTCGCCTTGTATTTGAACAAACTACTCCTAGGGAATTTATCGGATCAACTACAAATTTAATCAGCGCAATCTAAAGTCTTTCATGATTCAAATTTGTGCTATTTACGACATTCCATCAAACGGCGTGTCCGTGGTGTGGCATCAAAGTCAGCCATTTTGAATTCCGTGCTCATTTTCTGTGATTTTTCGCCTTGTATATGAACTAACTCCTCCTAGAGAATTTATCCAATCAACTTCAAATTTAATCAGCGCAATCTAAAGACATTCCGTCAAACGGCGTGCCTGTGGCGTTGCATTGAAATTCGACCATTCGCCATAAACAGATAGTACTCAACTTCAGTGTACAATGTCCAATCTCCATTAAACTTCACATATTCTGTAACAGTCCTAGCCTGAACATATCCTCACAACTTCAGTGTACATTATCTGATCAAAACAAAACTTCACGTTTGATAAGAGTCCCGCCCTGAACACGTCTACATGACAATATTCAGACGCAGTGATAGCGCCACCTACTGGCAACAGGAAGTATCACGTTTTATACTTATCATGTTCTACTCCAAGCAGGATGATCAGATCCAGCTGAAATGTACGTATAAAATGCAAAACATATTGTTGATGATATGTGATGACTGTGGTGAGGGCGCGTGTCTGTGGCATGGCGGGAAATTTTGATGTACCGCCACAAAACACAAATTCGCTATAACTTGAGTGTACATTGTCCAATCGGCTCCAAACTTCACTTGTCTGATAAGAGTTCTGCCCTGAACACGTCTACATGACAATATTCAGACATAGTGATAGCGGCACCTACTGGCAACAGGAAGTAAGCGCTGGGTGGCGATTTTGAGCTGATTTGTGGGACATTTTCATGTTGTGGTCCGCACGTGTTACAACAGCAGGTGATGCGGCCGCAACACACCCCGAGTTGCTCGGAGTGCGAGGTCCAGCCCAACGCTGCTTGCAGCTTTAATTATTAATTAATTCAGATAGATTGGTAGATAGATACTTTATTGATCCCTTATTGGGGAAATTCTTCTTTTCACTCTTTTTTATTCTTACACACACACACACTGAAATACTGAAATACACACTTCATGCACTGTGGACATGCAACAGGGAGAGAGATGGTGGAGTGATGGGCTGCCACGTTAGCAGCGCCCCATGAGCAGTTTCTTGAGGTTAGGTTGCCTTGCTCAAGGGCACCTCGGCAGTGCACAGGAGGTGAAACTGGCACCTCTCCAGCTACTAGTCTACACTCCATATTGTGGTCTGTGGTCTGTCACACTGAGCTACTGCTGCTCAACTAAGTAATGAAAAAAATATCATAATAAACAAACCAAATACAACATGTTAATTAAAGCTGCAAGCAGCGTTGGGCGGGACCTTGCACCGCACGAAACTCGGGGCGTGCTGCGGCCGCAGACCACAACATGACATTTTCACGTCACCCCACTCCCAAGCCCTCATCGCCAGAAGCTGAGGGAGACCACTCTACGTTGTCACACATTTCAGACACTGCAAATGACTAACACTTAGAGATAGAGATAGATAACATAGAGAGAGTCTTCACTGCGACAGGTGGAAATTCAGACGGACAGTAAATATTTGATTAACTTATGATCACCAATATGTATAGATTGCAGTGATGGAATATGAAGTCAATATGATAAAATCTGTAGGAGTTGGTTAAAAGTCCTGAAATGCCGGAAAGGGCATCACAGTGGCTGACTTTGGCGGCACGCCACGGACACGACCTTCAACGTACAGTCACAAAAAGCACGGTGTTCAGTCAGCACCATACTGTACCATACACTGTACTGACCAAATTTGAAGCAGATCCGATAAATTCCCTAGGAGGAGTTCCTTCAAATACAAGCCCAAAAAGTGAAAATAACCGCAAAATAGCCTACGACAGTGAAAATTAAAATGAAAATAGCCGACTTCCTGTGGGTTTTGGGGCATGGGTCCAAGAGGCTTTTCTGTACGTTTCGGCACGTTACACATGCCTACCGAGTTTTTTTTATACATATCGGGGAAACGTGGCGCCAGGGCTGCTTTTTAAAAATCCTGTAGGGGGCTCTACAAACACGACAAACACAATTTTTGGTATGTGAGCTACAGGCACCAGTCTACACATGTCCTGTGAATTTCATATTCATAACTATTATGGTTTCCGCAGAGTGATTTACCCGGCCACCAGAGCGCCACCAGGTGGCGTGATTTTTTTCCTTTTCAGGGGAGCCTCAGGGAGCCATGGGCAATCATCGTACCAAGTTTCGTTTTAATCACACTTGCCGATGCGGATATAAACTTCTTCATTTTAAACAGCGCCACCTTGTTGCGATGACCTGAAAATGTGCACGGTGCCTAATGAAGACATAAGGAACTCTTGACCCAAGGTTGGTGTTAATCAGACATACCAATGTGGAGAAATACCCCACTTCCTTTTTAAAAATTAAGAAGTGCAAATTTTATAATGTACTTATTTTTATATCAAAACTTAGTAAATGGTACTGGCTCGGTCCCATAGTTTCATTAGTGAGCTTTAGAGGTGTGGGATGGTGTGACAAACCAACCTATCAAACTTTGCGGACAGAGCCACCTAGGCCTAGCAAATATCCAATATTACCCCCCCCCATAAAAAAGGGAAGCAAAAAAAAAAAAAAAAAAATTTCCCTTTTTTTTTTTTTTTGCTCTTTTTTTTTTTTTTTTTTTTTGGGGTTGGGTTTTTTTTTTTTCCCTGCGGACAGAGCCAGGCTAGCTGTTCCCCCTTGTCTCCAGTCATGCTATGCTAAGCTAGGCTAACCACGTCCTGACTCCAGCTCTATATAACACATTGACATAAAAGTGATAAGAAAGCAAGTAGCCATGTTTCCCAGAATGGTGAACTATCCCTTTAACTGTTCACCCCTTGTTTGCTTTGAAAACTCGTATATCAAAGTACTAACAACGAGACCTCTTGGGCACAAAAATCACACCATCTCACCATGGCTTACCATCACATGTATTTGGAATCGTGATTTTTTTTAATTGAACCTGACAAGTTTTGTCAGGTTCAATTTGTTTGTTTTGAATGTTTGTAATGTCCATCATCTATGTATCCAGTGTGTATCGCTTTAATGCTGGTCCAACTCACCTGTGCTCTCCCCTGCTGTCCTTCAGGTATATGAACAGCTATATGACACTCTGGAAATTGTCGGAGGACCGGAGGTGCGAGCACAGGCAACAGCCAAGGTATTACATGCAAACTTATAACTAAAGAGCACTTCAGTAATGCACAAAAGGAATTATTTTAGAGATATCAGGCCATTTTATTTGCACAACTAGCACAGCAAACCAGTGTAAAGTGCTAGTTCCTGGGTGCACGGACTGTGGGTATGTCCTGGGGTTGTGCACTATTAGTCAACTAGTTGGTTACAAGTTACTGATCTCGCTAGTCGAGACCAGAAAAACTAGTCAGTTAAACTAATTATCATATTTTACAACATCGGTTAATTGCGTCTTTACGCAGCCACCCACCACCAGCCAGGGATACAGCCCCTGCAGGCGGCAGCCCCTCACCCCTGTTCTAATACCACCGTCATTTTTGTCCCACTTAACTTTACATCATCGCTGATGCCATCATCTGCGTTTGTCGTTTAGAAAAAGTGGATCCAGCCAGGGGTGGAGAGAATATAAAATGAAAACTTAAAAGGCATCATATATTAGGTTATCCCACAACCATCAATCAGCCAGGAGAGCAATCTCTCTCTTCATCTAATAACACAAATAGTGTCTTCATTTCATTTATAATAATCTATGGCGCTGTGTTATTGGCCATATGTTGCCAATTTTAGTAGTATCCCAATGTGTTTACTGACAGAAATGCCGATAATGTAACAAACTGACCCCACGTCAAATGCGTATAACCTATATCCTTCCTTATTCTGAGATAATAGATAATATAGGCTGTCAATCAATCAATCAGTCAATCAATCAATGACATATCAATTGTTTTCTGAGCATTTAATTACCTAGACTAGTCAACTAGTCTAAACTAAAATTTTCATTTGATCAACTGCAAAATTAGTTACCAGGAACATCCCTAGTGTCTCCTAGCTCCCCTGTTATTTTGGTTAGGCAGTGCAAAGTGCATTGTAGTAAACTAAAATAAAAATAAAAACTAGAGGTCAGAATAGTAAAACAACAAATACTTATTACTTTAGTAGATATACATGAGTATACAGGAGTAACGTTGCATAGGGATCATAGTGTACGTTTAACTGAAAGTTAAAAATGGTTGCCACATGCGTAGCTGAATGGCAGATCTTTTCCAACTGTAAATAGTACAAAACATCTGTGATCCAGTGTCCATATGTTGGAGGTGAAGAGTCCTTCCATTTACATGAGTCTTCAGGCCAGACATTAGCTAAAGGCAACAATATCGGTTTGAGCTCTGCTTAGGTTAACATCTGGGGGAGTTACTCTAAATAATGCAATGGATGGAGCAACAGACTGTCCAAAAATCTCCAGTGTGTAACATTATTTGTCAGAAATGGAATATAATATTCACAGGAATGTTTTCATTTGTGTTTATTCACCTGAATGTAGGTAGTCGGCCATGTTGAACCGCCATGTTACTACATTTTCCTAGAAGGGACAAACCAAACGCTGGCTATAGATAGGGCCTTTTGCGGTTTTGATATTTTTTCACAGAATGAGGGCTGTGGATTTCATTCCGAATTGCTTCCATTGGAAGTATGTTAGGAAGGGATTCCTTCCAGTATGAACAGGAGCACTGATTACAACAAGCTGTACAAATCTACACTGGTGCTGTTTCAGTGTACAGTTGGGTTACCCCAGTTTCAACCAAGGCACTGCCTCATTTAAATGAACCGCCCACTGTGTACTGTGTGCTGTACCACACAGATGAGCAACGTCGATGTCAAGGTCAGGAAAATATAAATTCAGGAATGTAACTGGAGATGAAAGGCACACAAACTCATTTTATAACCATTTTCATGTGGAAATATCACACTGATCATACAGTGTCCTCCTGACAGGCCACAGTGGCAGCCTTTGCAGCCAGCGAGGGCCATGCCCACCCAAGGGTGGTAGAGCTGCCCAAGACGGAAGAGGGCCTGGGCTTTAACATCATGGGGGGCAAAGAGCAGAACTCCCCCATCTACATCTCCAGAGTGATCCCTGGGGGGGTGGCTGACCGCCAAGGAGGGCTTAAGAGAGGAGACCAGCTGCTGTCTGTCAATGGAGTGGTAAGACTGAAGCACACTGAGAGGTTAATTTTAATGCCAGTTTTAAAACAACATTAAAAGGATAAACCATGAATCTTCCCCAGTTGAGAGTTAAGAATTTCATATTAGTTTTCTGAGATTGCTGGTTTAAATATGCAAATGAGGCATTGTCTAATTTCAATGTTCCAATTTGCATACATTTCCAGGAAATACAGGAATGTGAACATTGAAGACTTGCATAACATGATATACGCATGTGTTTTATATCAAAAGACTTAAGCTATCTATAGAATAAGGGAATATTTGTCCTGTGTGTAGTCTGATTTCTGAAATTATTCAAATCTCTTGTGAAAACACACCTTTACTTGTGTGGAACAATTGTTTTGGTGCTTTGAATGGGTTCTAAAGTCTTAAGTTCACAAAAATAGTGGAGTATTTAAACTTAAGTTAGTTTCTTACCAAAGACACCCATCAATTAGGCACGCTGAAAGGCAGACATTGCTCTCTTCTCTTCCTCTTAGCGCACTGTAACCACGTACGCTATTACAAGAATATAGATGCGGAGAGACTACAGATCAGACAGTATCGCAGAGATATTAATAGAAACATTGCAAAAAAGAGCCAGCTCATTTGTCAATTCTCACCATGTTTTTGGTTATAAAATATTCCACAAACCAGGCCTCTGTAAAAAGTTTCAGAATGTAGATAGGAATAAAACTTAATGGTTTTGTGTATGTAAGTGCTACTGAAGTATAGATTTCACAGACAAGGTAAAAGTGTAGTAAAATAAACACCTAAATGTGTATTTTGGGCATTTTATTTCCACTTGTCTGAAAAAAGACACAATTGCCCAAAATCTCAAAATTGACCAGTGTGTTTGCCTGTAGTGTTTTGCCTTGATATTCACGCTCAATGTAAATACTTGAGGTTCTAGATGATTAATGATAGCGGAAAAAATATCAGCCCCAGTAGTGACTGATATGAGTGGCACCCTGCAGACCTTTGGTCCCTCACAGCATGCGGTCTGAGATTCTTGTGTGTTGGTGTGATGCAGAGCGTTGAGGGGGAGCACCATGAGAAGGCGGTGGAGCTGCTGAAGGCTGCCCAGGGTTCAGTCAAGCTGGTGGTACGTTACACCCCAAAGGTCCTGGAGGAAATGGAGGCTCGCTTTGAGAAGATGAGGAGCGCCCGGAGACGACAGCAGCACACCAGCTACTCGTGAGGCTGCTCGTTAGTCTGCACCCCGTCACCACTGTTAATATATGTACGGGTACACACTGTCAGCGTGTGCCAAGTCTATACTACATGTTAATTCTAAACTACTTGTAGTACATACTAATCATCACAGCATATAGTTTCAGTGATTAACATATTGAAAATCATCATACTGCAACAATACATACTGGAAGTTCTCTCCTTGGGTCTGTGTGGGTTTTCACTTACAATTCAAAGACATCCAGGTTTGATGCATTGGAAAGTCCAGACACCATTTCCACTTGTCTTATAATGTGATCTGTTTTAGGATACATTATTGGAATAATGATATCTGATCACAGACCTTTGCAATTACACCCGCTCTTATTAAGTGCCCCATCTTTCCCAATTCTGCCTCCATTATGATCAGATCTCAGTTTACAAATAAGATAGGTGGAGAGCTGGCACACTTGTCTCTGGTTAAGGAAAGACTAGGAAGCACTAAGATATGCAAGGTAAGGGTGTGGTGATGTTGATGAAGACAGCTGAAAGCCTCTGTAGTCAGAAAGTAATCAATACAAGCGGGCCCCTGTCTGCCAAGACACTTCTGAAGTGATGTGGCTATATGGGCTCTAGAAGTGCAATATATGCCCCATGCATTTACAATTGCATTATAACATGTATTATTCCTGATCCAGATACAGATATATGATCTGTATCTGGATGTGATCACATATAGGTGGAAATGGGGCCTAAAGAATGTGTGTTAACAACGTAAGAGCGATCACCATTTACTTAATGTATGGTTAGATGTTCTTCTCATAGCATCCGCAGGGACGTTCTACACAAGGACTAGCACTAGCAACATGGTACTTTAGCTGTGGTTTAGTGATTATTATGGTGGCCGTATGTCTCGGAAGTTATTGCAGTATAGTTTAGTGCATGCAGCGTAATGCTCTGTCTCTCTTCCTGCAGATCTCTGGAGTCCAGGGGTTAGCTGACCCAATGCCTCCATCCAACTCATCGTCCAACCCTCCTCACTCTTCTGTCCCAGGGGGAGGCGAGACTGTAGATGAGAAGCAAAAAACCAAAGTAGCCTGCCAACACCTGTTACCTGAACTTGTTCATGAAGCCAACACTGCAGTTTAGGATTTTGTCCCCTCCCTCTTTACCCATTTCTTAGAGAAATGCAGAGTAAGCTTATTGTCGGACCATGCCTGTAATTTTACCTCCCCAGTGTGAAACCATCCTGTTACATAAGGGCAACACATTCTCTTTAGTGTGGCTTAACTGGAACCTTACTCTCATGTTTTACTTTTGCATTCTCATGTAGTGCACTGCACTCCTCAGCAGTGTCCACTGTCTGCAGTTAGAGCTCAGTAGCAAAGGAAACGTGTTAAAGCTGACGGATGTCCCAGCTAGAGGGCTAACCATTAGCATTATGAAGAACTACAATTAAATCAGTGGCTGGCAGGGGCCATCGTAGTCCAGGTTTTGAGAATTGTTTAGTATTAATTTATTTGTGTATTCATTTATTGCATAATTATTTGTGAAATAAAGTCTAACTGTGTAAACTAAAGGCTGGCTTTCTCAGACATAACAGGACTTTTGCTGGTTCTGTTTAAGAACTGAGAGATTTGTTTGCTAACAAACTTGTTTCTTTTTTCTGAAACACTTACAGTATGTCTATACCATAGTTTGATAAGATACTGTATCTAGAGACTATAAAGAAAGGAACATCATCATAGCATGACTCAGATTGGATACACAGGGTTAGATGACACTGTTTGTGCTTGGGAAAGGGACCAGTGACAAATGTGGGAGCTGTGGAGTTAAAGAAAACAAACACATTGTATTGCACCAAGCAGAAAGAGAACGACTGCATCATAAAGTCTGAGTGGAATCTAGGTAGAATTTAAGAAATGGGGCACCCTGATACCTCACCTGGTAGAAAATGCTAACCCCCCATGTACCGAAGCTGAGTCATTGCTATAGCGGCTGTGGGATTGACTCCGACCTGTCATCCCCTCTCTGTCCCCTTCAGCTGTAATTATATGTATGTACCCATACATATAACAGTTACATACATACATATGTAGCATGATGTTACACAGTCAGTCGGTAGGTGGCGGTGTGCACCTTGAAGCTGCCAGTTAACAAAGAAAGGAAAAAAACAGGAAGGAGGAAATGAGGGAAATTTAAAATAGAAACAGATGATATCCGTCCTGAAACCTTCGGATAACAAGACGTTTAGATAATTGTCAGAGAGAGAGACAGCCTGAGGTCTGTATGAGAGGACTCTTTCTGGCCGGACTGAATCAGGTAAGTTAACGTTAACTTAACGTTAGCACAGAGATAAGTTCGGTTGATGATGTGTTTGTGTTAGCGGCTAACTGTAGCTAACGTGTCTGTCCAAACCAACAACTAACGTTACTGTCAATGGTCCAAACAGACACCAAGTACTGAGCTAACTTTACCTTTATTTAACACGGGAGTGTATCAGGAATTAGCTAGTCACTAAAAACTCAGCAATTGAAAACTGTTAGCGTTAGCTTACTTTATTCACTAGCTAACGTTACCAAGGCAACTAGCCTCGTCCTGGTCATAAACTGGCTGAATGAGTTGGCTTTATAATAGAACGTTAACGTTAGTAACTTTGGTAACTAGTCTGTTAACGTTACTTAAACTACCACCAAAGGCTAACTGGCGTCCTCACTGTTTAGTTCTATCCGGCCGGAGGATAACGTTAACAGGTGTTTTCACATTACACTGTTTCCCTGCTAAAAATATATGTAACTTATGTATGCAAGTTAACTTCAGTCAGTTTAGTGATCTAAATATTACAATACCAAAACTTAATATGATCAAATTAAAACAGTATTGCATAAACGGTAAGTAAGGGATAATCACCGAGAGGCAGGGCAAGAAACAGTTTGATATGCCCGGCTCGTGGACGGCTTACCGCCACCTGCCTCTCGATGATTATCCCGTTTATTCTACTTCTTGCTTGCCAACATAATAAAACAATTCAAATACTTTAATAATTATGCTTTTTCTTATTCGTATTGCATGTTTATTAAATGTATACTCTGTTTGAGTTCATCTCCCTCAAAAAGTAACGTTAGTCCCCTTTAGAACTCCGGCGAATAACGTTAGCTCAGCTGTAGCTAATTAATTTCTATAGCAACCACACAAGGCTGCATCTGATCACTAGTTTAATAACGTAGTTGCTACATTGTATCAAGTCAGCTTTAATTATGATCGATCAAACATGCATTCCTTATTCCAAATAGTTTTTATTTGCAATAAATGTATAACAAAATTAGTGCGATCAGGCGATTTCTATATGTGTATTAAACTGGACACCATTTTTAAAACGCTGCAATGTTTAGAACTACCTCTGGAACTACGGTGAATAAAGTTAGCTCAGCTGTAGCTAATTAGTTTCTATAGCAACCACACAAGGCTGCATCTGATCACTAGTTTAATAACGTAGTTGCTAACGTTACATTGTATCTCGCTTGCGAAACTATGTATCGACTGACCCTCCGATAGATTTCCGACACATTTTAGAAACTTTTTTAAACAAGGTTTATTTTTACAATGGACCTCATGTTTGAAATTTCTGTGATAGAAAAAAAATACAAGCGGCGTATTGATCTACTATTTGATGACGCTGTGCTCAGTCAGCAGCATGTACAACCGACAAGTCAGCGGGCAACCTGCCGGGTTAATGCCCTCCTCCCAGCCAATTAGAATCAAGCATTCTTAAACGAACTATAATAATAAACAATCAAACATTTCCATCTCAGTCTGTCAAAATGCCAGGGGCCTCTTTTGTCCAACCAACACTCCAAACCCACAAATATCCGTTAACTGTGATATAAAACAAAGACCACACAATGTGACACACTCGAGAAGCTGGAATGGGGATATTTCGTTATAATGTTGAGATGGTTTTTTTTTGTCTGTTTATTTTGAATTTCTATCTATTTGCTGAAAGCTGCTGTAGTGAAGTTTTATGAAGATAACTTTTTGTTGTGTTTGCTGAAACTTTCCCTATATCCTGACAGTAGTACACAGAAAGTGTGAAAGTTTCAGCAAATACGACAAAAAGTGAATTCTATAGAAGTTACCTTCTGCAGCTTTAATGTTCTCTCTTTGTTATTCCCCTTATATACTTCCTTTTTTCTTTCTTTATTTACATCACTTTTTTACTTAAATGTTGTAATTTGTGTGTGTTCTCTGGTGCTGTGTGTCATATATTAAAACTGATAAGGTGTTTGTATTCATTAGTTATTAAACGGCGATGCTGATGTTTACAGTACAGTTAAAGTTAGGGAACATTAAAGACAAACGTGTTCTTTAAAGTAGTATTCCACTGGAAATCAGAAACAAGTCTCACTGTTGTATCCTTTCAGGATGAGGAGTTCCTCCTCCCTCCTCTCTCCTCCCCCTTCTCCTCACCCTCCTGCCCCCCTCCCCCTCTCCTCCTCCGCTCCTCTGACTGGCTGTCCTGATCTCGACCTGTCCATCACACTCAGCCCTGCTCCCAAGACCTGCAACACACAACTGAAGCTCCGCCCACAGAAGGCAAGTCAGCAGAAGCCCCTCCCACGAGGTCAGGTGGGAAGAAAGGGTAACACACAGGTGATGACATCATCCTGTAGTCCTGGTGTGTGTGTGTGTGTGTGTGTGTGTGTGTGTGTGTGTGTGTGTGTGTGTGTGTGTGTGTGTGTGTGTGTGTGTGTGTGTGTGTGTGTGTGTGTGTGTGTGTGGTGACATCATCCTGTATCCTGGTGTGAGTGAGTGATGACACTGTTTTTTTCTTGCAGGTGTGTTTTGAAGAGCCGGTGGTCGTCAGGGTAACACCGGAGCCTCACATCTCAGTGAACAAAGACTCCCTGCCTCAGCAGCCAATCAAAGGTCAGAAGAGGAACAGTGGACGTCACCATGGTAACTAGAGTCCGACAATTTGTGTCCCCTGTTTACTAGACTAATAAATAAAATGGTATTTATGTATCGATATATTGTAGTGTATTGTATTGTATTACTTTATTAATCCCACAATGGGGAAATTTCCTTGTCACAGCAGCAATTACTTGAAATAAATAAATACAGACATAAAGAATATGATAAAAACTAAACTATGGTATGGTGGTAATTTAAAAAAAAAAAACAGACTATGGTATGGTGGTAATTTGAAAGAAAAAAAAAACAGAAACTACAACATTGATCAGGTGTTGTAGAGTCTGACAGCGGCAGGGATGAAAGACCTGCGGAACCTCTCCTTCTTACACCGTGGGTGTAACAGTAACAGCTGGGTGTAACAGCTGAAGGAGCTACTCAGGGACCCAACAGTGTCATGTAGGGAGTGAGAGGTGTTGTCCATGATGGATGTCAGCTTCACTAACATCCTCCTCTCACCCACTTCCTCTATGGAGTCCAGAGGACAGTCCAGGACAGAGCTCGCTCTCCTGATCAGTTTATTGAATCTCTTCCTGTCCCTGTCCGTACTGCCCCCTCTCCAGCAGACCACAGCATAGAAGATGGCTGAAGCAACCACAGAGTCATAAAAAGTCTTAAGGAGCGCCCTGCTTACTCCGAAGGACCTCAGTCTCCTCAGCAGGTGCAGGCGAATCTGGCCCTTCTTGTAGAGAGCATGGGTGTTGTCAGTCCAGTCCAATTTGTTACTGAGGTGAACACCCAGGAATTTATAATTATCTACCACCTCAATGTCCAATCCCTGGATGTTCACCGGGGTGCAGTGGGATGTTTTCCTCCTGAAGTTAACGATCATCTCCTTCATCTTGCTAGTGTTTAGTTGAAGCTGGTTGAGCTCACACCAGCTGACAAAGTCCCTGATGACAGTCCTGTATTCCAGTTCGTTCCCCTCAGAAATGCATGCAACAATGGCTGTGTCATCTGAGAACTTGTGGATATGGTGGAGTGTGGAATTGAGGGGTAAAGGGTGAAGAGGAAGGGAGAGAGCACCGTACCCTTAGGGGCACCTGTGTTGCAGAGCACAATGTCAGACACACAGTGTTGGAGCCTCACATACTGTGGTCTGTTGGTGAGATAGTCTATTGTCCATGCAGCCAGGTGTTGGTCCACTCCCACACTTTCCATCTTCACTCTGAGCAGTGATGGCTGGATAGTGTTGAAAGCACTGGAGAAGTAAAAAAACATGACCCTCACCGTGCTCCTGCTCTCCAGTTTCCTCCTGTAGCTGTCCTTTCCCTTCCTGATCTTTTGCCGGAGTTCCTTCTGGACTCTGCGCAGCTCCTCTTTGTCCCCCGATCTAAAGACCCTCTTCTTCTCATTCAGCAGGCCCTTAATCTCGGAGGTCACCCAGGGTTTGTTGTTGGGAAAACACCATACCAACTTGGAGGGCACAGTGTTCTACACACAGAAATTAATATAGTCCGTAATGCAGTGGGTCATACTGTCAATGTCATTTCCGTGGGGGCTGCAGAGTGCTTCCCAGTCTGTTGTCTCGAAGCAGTCTCTGAGCCTAGCACTGGTCTCCTCAGACCACTCCTTCACAGGCCTCTTCTCAGGTGGTTGTTTATTCACCACAGGGGTGTAGTCTGTGATCAGATGGACAAGGTTGTGATCTGAGCGACCAAGCGTGGGGAGGGGGGATGAGGTGTATACATCCTTGATGTTTGCATACAACAAGTCCAAAGTTTTATTGTCCCTGGTGTGGCATTTCACGTACTGGGTGAAGGTGGGGAGAGCAGAGGACAGGGAAGCATGGTTGAAGTCACCGGAGATGAGGAGGGATTGGGGGTTCTGGTTTTGAAGCTGGGAGACGACAGTGTGGATCTGATCTGTAGCTGCAGCAGCAATGGCCAAGGGAGGGATGTACACAGATACAGCAATAACATGTGAAAACTCTCTTGGAAGGTAGTACGGCCGCATGCTAACTGCTAACAGCTCCAAGTCTCTGGTGCGGAGTTGCTCCTTAACACTGATGTGTGCTGGGTGGCACCATCTTTCATTCACAAACACAGCGATTTCTGCTCCCTTCTCCTTACCGCTCTCTGTTGCTTTCCTGTCTACCCGTACAATTTGAAATCTGAAAACTCAGTTTTATTTGGCAAAGTGGTCAGGCCTGGTAAAAAAAATATATTCTATGCCACTTTCAGGTCGGCCACTAGGTGGCGCTATTATCATAAAGTACGTTTAGGCTAACAACTTCTGCATAGTTTGTCGCACGTATATCCACGCGTTGGGTGAATGGAGCTGAATCTCCCCATATAGGCCCCGCCCACTTCCGCCTATAATTTCTTTTCGTTAGAGCGCAAAATGTCCTTAAACTACTTTTTTGTGGTCCTCCTACACGCTTTGTCCGATTCCTACGAAATCTTTCACCTAGCATCTGGGGACCGTCCTGGCAAAAAAAGTAATTCGAACATTTTTGAAATTTCAAAAAATAAGCACGTTATAAAATTAACACTTCCTGTACATTTTCCGTCAAAAAAGGAAGTGGACCATTTCTCCACATTGGTATGTCCGATTGATACCAAGCTTGGGTCCATAGTTCCTCATGTCTTCCTTAGGCATCGTGCACAATCTTGAACAATTTGAGGCCACCGCCACAAGGTGGCTCTCTTTAAAAGTAAAATGTTTATATCTCCGCATCGGCACGTGTGATTAAAATTAAACTTGGTACGATGCTTGCCCATGGCGCCCTGAGGCTCACTAATAAATGTGTCAACAATCCGCCACTAGGTGGCGCTCTGGTGACAGTGTAAATCATAGTGCAGAGACCGTAATAGTTATGAATATGAAATTCACAGGTCACGTGTAGTCTGGTGCCTGAAGGTCACATACCAACAATCGTGTCTGTTTGTAGCGCCCCCTACAGGATTAAAAAAAAGCAGCCCCGGCACCACGTTTCACTGATATGTACGAAACTCGGTAGGCACGTCCAACGTGCCGAGACGTACGAAAAAGCCTCTTGGACCTATACCTTAAACCCAACAGGAAGTCGGCCATTTTGGATTTTGTGGCGATTTGCACACATTGTATTTGAACGAAGTCCTCCTAGGGAATTTATTGGACCGACTTCAGATTTGGACACAGCAATCTAAACACATTCACCATTAAAAGTTGTGCTATTTACGTTATTCCGTCGAACATCGTGGATGTGGCGTGGCGTGGCGTACCGTGGCATGCAATATGTGATAATATTCAGAAATAGTGACAGCGCCACCTAGTGGCAACATAAGGTATCACGTTTTAGACTTTCATGTTCTACTCCTAGCAGGATGATCAGATCCAGCTGAAATTTACTTATAAAATGCAAAACACATTGTTGATGATATGTGTTGACTGTGGTGAGGGGGCGTATCTGTGGCGTGGTTGGAAATGTTGATGTATCGCCACAAAAAATGAATTTCCTATAACTTGAGTGTACATTGTCCAATCGGCTCCAAACTTCACTTGTCTAAAAAGAGTCCTGCCCTGAACAGGTCTACATGACAATATTCAGAGATAGTGATAGCGCCACCTACTGGCAACAGGAAGTGTTGAAAGCGTGGTGCTTTAAAGCTGATTCACAGGAGATTTTCATGGTGTGCTCCATACGTGTGACGAAGGTTAGTGACGCGGCCGCAGCACGCCCCGAGTTGCGCGAAGTGCGAGGTCCCGCCCAAAGCTGCTTGCAGCTTTAATTAATATTATTATTATTACTACAGTTACTATTACTACTATTGTCACTTCTCATTGTCCCCAATCGTCGCTGTTGTCGTCGTCGTCATCATCTACTTTAGTGTGGTTGTCGCTAGGGATGCACCGATCCACATTTTTTCATTTCCGATCCCGATACCTGAATTTGGATATCGGCCGATACCGATACTATTCCGATACCAGAGCTCTGTTTTCTTCAATATTATTATTATTATTATTGTTGATTTTATATGAGATAATGTGAAAAAACTCCTCAACAGGCAAGTATGATATGTACGTATGTATGCATCTATGTCCCAAAAGCAGGGCCAGCCCAAGGCATTAGCGAACTAAGCAGCTGCTTAGGGCCCCGTGACCACTAGAGGGCCCCCAAGAGCAATTAACTCAAAAAAGTAATTAATAATTTTTTTCCATGTGTGAGTGATGATGATTCATATATGATCAAATGTACATTCTTGTACAAAAAAAACCCCCAAAACCCAACAACAATATGATAACAGAGTGTAGTTTCCTACTGCCTCTCTGCTCGAAGTGTCAGAGCTCTGTTAGTAACGTGTGCAGTGCCGTGTGCACTGAGCATCCAGGAGCTAGGAGCAGGTGAAAGATGTCACAACAAAGGACTTAACGTTACCTTCAGGGGCAGAAAGAGGAAGAGGAGAAACAACGACAAGATAAAGGTATGTCTTGGTAATGTAACATTTGGTGATATTTTGTTCCAAAGACATTAGCCTATAATAGCAAATTTGCTAGCTAACATTAGTTCAAAACGTCTTACCACTTCTCTGTTATGGGTTAGATATAGGATTATATAGGTTAGATAGGATTATATAGGTTAGATAGCTTACTATTCAAGCTAACGTTGTTGTGTTTGTGTAATACTTTGAATAAGTTGATTCTCAGTGTATATATATTATTCTGGGTCGCTTTTTGGCATCAAAACGTTTTTGATAACAACGTTTGATAGCAAATGTTTAATAACTAACATTAATTATAAACGCGGTGACGTTTGCTAGCAATATGGTTTTGCATTAATGAATTCATTTAGTTAACTTATAGTTTGAGGTATGTTGTTTGCAATTGTTTGCAGCAGAGCACAGTAATTTATGTGAGTAAATAAACATATTCCTTTTACATCAAATCCCTATTATGCTCATACGTTAACGTTATATGAAACTTCCCCAGGAGCACTGTTAAAGTATTTTGGAGGAGGCACTGACTCAGCCCAGGGGCAAACAACCTCCTCAGGAGCAGCCAAGGCT